TCGTTGTTATCAAGTCTAACCGATTTGCACTCCACCCGTTTGTCATTTTCCGTCGATTAGAGTCTGAGGAGGTTTGAATTCAGGGTTATTCACTTCGTTTCATTATTATAAAAGTTTATTAGAATATCCAATTAAAAGAGTTGATAATGACTTTTGTACAGTGTTGGTGAAAGTGATAAGAATGCAGGAAACCCATGAACTCGCTTTTAGTCGTGAAAAAAGAAAAACTTCCGCGTTGGTGGTTCTGAAATATGAGAATGATAGGAAGGAGGTTACTGTGGCCCTTGTGCGAGGAGAAAAAGTAAACTTCGAATGCTTCAATGAGAGTTATCACAAAAGTGTTATGTTATAGGGGAAATTCCCGCCTGTGGTCGAAACTTTTGCCCATAACCCAGCTTTCTTTTTATAGCTTTTGGAGCGCGAAGTGCGGCGTCAAACAGCAGTTGTTTCAATACGTCCAATAACAGACGTTACTGTTAACAAGTTTTCTTGAGGATTTCTGAAACTGTCAGAATTTTCGATTATGTATTTGCGCTGAAGTTTTGGTTTTCGAAAGACTACTCAAAGAAGGGACTAACCTCACCCAAATGAAAGCACCGCCCTTTCAAGTGCTTCAACCGCCCCGAAGTCTACACTACCTAGGCATGAACAAAGGTCCTGATCTCCATTACAGGGATCTTCATTGCATAAGGAATCGTTTGAATCATCCCCTATACTGCTGAGCCTATACCTTTTCCTGGTCAAAAGAAGCAGCTCGCTCTCACATTACAGGTATTTTACGTTCCAACATGGGCGCTGACATAGGTCGGGGTGGGGATGATCTACCTAGCCACGCCTCTATATCCTTTCCCTAGTAAGGTTCAAGCAGCACAGACGAGGACGTGAGATAGTCTCATAGAGAATACGTACAATTCACCGTACTTAACCCTTGATTAGTGGAAATAATATGGAGGTGGTGAGTAGTCCCCCCTCATCTGCGTCAGCGCCTCAAAATAGGTATGACCATCGATTTAGTAACATTTTTTCGCCGTTTAGTTAGTTTTTCGCAATTGATGTGATATTGATCGTTTCTGGCCAACACTTTACACTTGTACTCGAATTGTGCTGTTATTATTCTTTCTGATGTTGTTTGCCCTTCCGATACAGTTATTTGAACTTCTTGTTATTCACGTGCCTAGTAGACTGTCAGGTTTAGGATCAAATTTCAAGGTTCCCCGTGTTCTGTAAAAGATCGTGGAACGGGGAAATTTTTTTGCGTTGATCTACAGTTTTCTTGTTTTCATCATCCTACTTCATGGTCATGTTTGATACCGTTCTGCTTTTCGAGGCTTCGAGCTGGCCGAAGGACTCACTAAGTGGCCTTTAACTTTGTCGCAACAGTCGGCGCTGTTCGGCTGAGGGATGCCAGGGTGACATTTTGCACGTTCTCTAGTTTCATTTGTTAGTTCATGAACTCTTGTGAGGCTGCAAAATAGTGCAAGTTAGCAATTTTGCCCAGTAATTTGCAGTTCCCCTCAAATTGGACTGCAGGAGCTTCTTTGAGTGCTATTTGGTGCCCATATCAAGCCGAACGCTGCAGACCTCTTGCCTGAGAAGGAAACATTGATGTGCAATTGTTAACCCGCTGAGTAGTGTAATCACTTCAAAAGCACGAAAGGCAGTTCAATTAGCCTTCTTGGTTCTTTATGTCCTCTCCTTCGTTGTTTGCTCTGGTCGCATTAAAAGCCCGATCTGTTCAGTAAGCATGGAAATCTAATAGGTTAATTTCAGGTTTTGGATATGTTAGGTAGTCGAATTGTATCATCATTACTGCGTAGCTACAAATTTTTGCCATCTTCAAAATCATTAGCAACATTGAATGTTGCCCCTACTGCTTCCTTCGTACGATGTGCGTCTGCTAAACGGGTTGAATTTGTCTGCGGAGATGAAAAGTTCACTGGGACTGCCAAGGTAAGCTTTATAGTAGTTTTCTTTTTCTGAAAATCCTTTGCATTTGATATAATGCTTGAGAAATTATGGTCAGTAATTTTCAAATACGTATCAGCTAAACATTTTCGAAGGGCTGGTTGGCCCTGGCAGTGTAGCATAACATTACGGGACAGGGTCCTCGAAGACAGTCGCCGCGCTTAACCAATTCGTAGGCATCCTTCCTTGTTCAATTAATCTGATCCGTAATATCTAATGCTGTCCCTTTTTCACGGCTTTAAAGTAAGTAGCTGAGGCTCTGCGACCTTCATAAGAGGCAGTTCTTTCGTCTCTCCAATGTACCGTCCACCGAAACTAGGCTATTTTCTGTCCCAAGTTCTACTTTTGCATCGCGTTTTCAGCTTTTGCTTCCCACTGTTAGATGGCAATATCATTGGGGTGTATTGCTTTTCTGGTATAAACGAAAAGGTACGGGGAACTCGTACTTTGAGCCTGCCAAGGGGTCCTTGCTTAGGGTGCTCTCCATGATTTTTTTTTATTCTCTCGTTAGAAAGTCGCTTAGCGACTACCGGTCCGTAATTGAAGGCCGGTGTTCACAATATGCAGTCGCAGGGTTTGTCTTTAAATTCACATTCATCACCGAATACTTATCTCTTCCAAGTGTTTTCAAGTATTTTGCCGGAAATAATGCGAATACACTTCTCGCCTCTATCTAGACAACACTAACACTGTTCTATCATTGCTAACCTCTGCATTTACGACATGAAGCCCAAGGGGCAAGCCATCCTGTCGTGGGTTCTATAGCACAAGCTTGACCCTGTTATTAAAGCACTTTGAGATAAGGCGTACTCTGTAGTATTGCGATTTCTGTGACTGCTTCAGTTTACGCCTCACAGTTCAGCGTCTAAAATGATGGGTGAGACAGTTATTTTAGAGTGGTTTGGAGTTATCAGCGTGGTGCAGTGGAGAAAAGACCCGCTTACAGGTCGTGGCCTTCACTGGGCCCTGTCAAGGCTGATCGAACCTCCAGTCCCTTTTAGGTAGAGTGAATTGGTACCAGGCTCATCTGGGAAAAATAAAAATACTGTTTTATACACTAGTGCCCAAGCAAGTTATGGTATGACGTTTAAAATGTCAGTGCGGTCTGAATAGAAATGGAATGCGTGTCGCTGCAAAGAGAGATTGTTACACTAAAGAAGCTCATCCCACTAAAATAAATATCAAAAAGTGATTCTCAAAGTATCCTACTGTTATATGAAGTAATCATATTCTTTCCAAAGTTTTTCTCTGACTCTGTACTTGTTTCAGCTTGGAGATACTTTACTAGATGTTGTTATAAATAACGATCTGCCTTTGGATGGTTATGGTGCTTGCGAAGGCGAGTTCTCCCTTTTCATTCCTTTCATACTTGCTCATTTGCATTCGTAGAGGTGTTCCTGGAGAAGTTCGGAGATGAAAAGACCATATATATTGTTTTGTTTCTACAAGTAGATAGCAGGGTTAGTTATCACAAGAATGCTGAGTTATGGGCAAAAGTCGTACCCCAGGCGGGAGTCGAACCCGCACCTCACGCTTTCCGGGCGAGTGCGCTATCCGTTACGCCACCAGGGCCGTTACCCTCTCAGCTCAACGGCTTTTATGCCGTAGCCTTACAGCACTCACACGTTTAAATGGTGAGCCGGTCAGCCGTAATCGTTAGATATCGGCAATGAACCGCTAGACCGAAGGCTTTCAAAGTTTTTGAAGTATGTTTCTTGTTATGATAAAACTGCTGTTGTACGCGCGCAGTTCGCGGTTTGTTGTGGTTGTGTTGAGCGAGATCCGTAAGATAAGTAGTATTTGATGGAAACAGTGAATTCTGCTCATCGTACTCTGCCGGTAATGGGCCATGTACCGGTACATGACTTTGGTTATTGTGGTTTGAGAGTTATTCGGTATTTTTTTTGTTTGCCAGGTACGCTGCATGTTTGCAACAGTGTCATGTGGTGCTTTCACCAGAGCATTTTGAGCGTGTCGATCGGATTAATCCAGCAGGTGAAGAAGAGATGGATCTTCTTGATCTTGCCCCTGAATTAAGTGACTATTCTCGATTAGGTTGTCAGGTTAGTGCGATCGTAATTTTATTCATCTTTTTACTGCATGACCATTTGTTGGTTTTGAATTCTGCCACGTTTGTGCTGGTAATCATAACTCTATGAGGTTTCCGTAAGTCTATCGTATAGCAGTTTTTTACACGTGGCAGCACTTTTTGACGTGAACATCTAAACTGTTCTGTGAGCAACTGGCGACTTTTAGGTCATCCGTACCGTGTACACTTATTTTTCTTGTTCCACGGACGCTATAAAGATCGTATTCGCTCGTTGTTGGAAGAGGGGAGTATTGCCTCTGGCGTAGGAGAAGGTTGCTGACTTTATGTTTTCATAGTGTGTACTATACCTCCCTCTTCGACGACAAAATTTTTGGGAAGAACTGGGAGAATTCCGGGAACTTCCGGTAAATGTGATATAAAGTTAGGAAAATTGAAGAAGCGAAGAAAGTGGTCACTAGGATGTGGGGGGGGGTCGTACCGGACTCGCACCAACATCCCTCAAACTAATGGGGTGGCCCTGGCTGTAGCGTCCTGGACTTGTGAGGCTATGATTCAGTCATCATGGACGACCTTCACCGACGTTTCTCCTGTGCTCGGCTTACCTTAACAACGCTTTCTCAGAACCGTACCCACCTTTTGCTCTGCTCTCTTGGGCGATCATCTTCCGTCAATGTTTGATTCATTTCTACCGTTAACACTGGCACAGGCTTTGGTCTACCATCTCTGTCTCCCTAGAACAGGGGAGTGATGGCTTATGCAGTGCTGATTACTAGGTGTATAGGATTTTCCTTTACATTAACACATTGTGGACTACTGCGTACTGCGTACAACTCCGGACTATTTTATCATTTCTTATAAGGTATTCATCCAGTTACTGCCTCTTTTTGTTTTTTGGATCTTACGGGTTAAGTATATTCCGTAACGTAGAATGTTTTCACAACACTGGAACATGAAAGGGAGCCAAACTGATTATATAAAACCATGCCGTCATGGAGACAAATTTATGACACACCATGTTTGTCAAGCGGTCCGGAACGTGTTAAATAGCGAGCACAGTCCTGTTCAGTAGGAGTGCCAGGGCTTGTCGGTGGGCTGGAACTGCCCAGTCTCCAGCAATTGTAGAAGTTACCGTCTCAGTATACACAACAACGAAGCCTCTCTGCTCCTCCTTTTCCTTGCTCCTTCCATCTTTTCCTTGCTTCCTTCTTTCTTCCCTCTTCCTTTTCCTTCTCTCGTCAACTGCTGGGCCAAGAGATGCGATGAGAAAATGCCTCTGAACCTTCGCAGCTAGAGCCACTTTCAGGTTCTGGTAAAGGAGCCCCGTAAACCGTTAGGCATATCGACTACAGCTATTGGAAAAAGGGCAGCGCCTCACTAGGATGCCAGCTACCTCCTGGCCTCCCCCCCCCCAGTATTCGCTGCAAAACAAGACTGTTCTATCAATGATATGACAGCCTTTTGAGACAAGGAAAACTTGAGAAGTGCAGTTTAAGTTTTCTTTGGTTCATGATTTTGTTCCTTTCACGCTCATTACTGAAAACTCCTTGCCATGACCTCTTATCAAACACTGCCCAGCTGTCTCTTGCGTGCTATCTTCTGTCATTTTCAGATACAAGTAGAAGCGGATGATCCAGAAACCATAGTTGTCAAAGTGCGCCGTAGCAAAAGCGGAACCCGAACATTGGACTTAGATGGATATCCCAGGAAGCATTTTCCTCATTTTAGCGCATATAAAGGTTAGTAAAGGCGATCGATAAGCGTTGGCTACATAGGAATCCCAGGTGTTAGCACATTGAGTCGCTTGTGGCATTGGCTTCGCAACGCACAATCTTAAGTTCATTTCGGCATTCGTTTCCCCGTATTTTGTTGTCATGCGCGTTTTCTCTTGTGTTCTTACGGAAGAATGCATTCTTTCCGTCGAAAATATGCGGCAGACCTCATCGCATCGATTTCAAAATGGCACGTGTTCTTAAATTCGAAAGTCTGAACGGGAGTCGCAAGAAAACTCGGTAGCGTTCAATATGTTAGCGGTGATTTGTTTCTTGTTACCACCGTCATAGAAAAGTAGCTCTATAGCCTTCTAGTGTGATTAGGACGTGGAGCGACACTTCCAAGTAGCGGCGAAATAGGCGCCGCAAGCGGCGTGACGGGACAGTATTCCTACCAGGACCTAAACCCACTTGACGTTGACGCGCTGCAGTGCGTTAACTCTCTCGGCGTCTGCGTCTCTCAAGTCGACAAGCTCTCTCTGCCAGCGCCTGTCTAGTCAATTAGCCAGGAATACTGTGCTAGTGCACAAGATACTGCGACTTGGAAGTAACGCTCCACACCTATGTGACTCGCTTTTATCAAGGCTATACTTGTTCTCGTTTGCATCAATTTCTCGTAGTTACTTTATTGTTGACCAGTTTTACTCGCTCAATACCCTTCTGTGATTCGATGATTAGAGACATCTTGCGAAGATGTTTGTCGTAGTAGATGCGTGTTCTGTTGTGTTGTTAAAAGAGAATTGCCATAGAATATTCATTTAGTTGAGCTCAATGCATCCATATATGTTTAATAAAGATATATGTCCTGCTACGTGTGAACAAGTAATCGGTCAAGTTTGCTTGTTTGTTACGAAATTCGGCTTCGCCAGGAATCATCGGAGAGACAATTAGAAATTAGTCAATCGGGGTCAATTTGAGATGGATGAAGCTTGGCCGGAGTATTATAGGGAGCTCATACAGCTGATATCGCCGCAATCTGTCTGGGCGGTTTCATGGGGTAGGGAATGAGCCCCACCCGCGGCGTTCTCACCACTGATTGTTTCCCTCCTGAATCGATGTCTAACCGATCGCCAGTGGAAGAGCAAAGCAGCTGGAAGCGGGTTCATTCCAACGCTCCTGACAACGCCTCGACCAGGCCACATCATGCGTTTGAGATTTTGGTGGAGACGTTACTCCCCCCCCCCTCCCCCCACCCCGTCTGAAAGGCAGCTCGTTAGGACGATGGGCGCACTTGCTATAAAACTGCTACTGATAATTTGGTTCCTGAGATCGCTCAGAAAATTTGCTAATTGGGGGTGGACAAAGCTATAGAAGGGTGATCAAACGTCAACAGTACGAGTGCTGGCGCCAAGTGAGGTAAGATAAAAAAAGCGTGATGTCAAAGTCGTAAAAATGACGTAAAACATCTTAGAACAGCTTAGGAACGGGGGAATGGATGAAAGTGAGAGGCAGAATTGCTGCTGAGGAAACGTACCCCCGTGGACGGAATTGTGCAAGATCAGAACAAAGATGAACTTTACTGTAAGTTTGTATACTTCTGAAATGTACATTAGTAAAGAGAGGAAGGCTATCTAACAATGGAGACCCTCTTCACGAGATCAGGGTGGGCGAGATTAGTACGGTAGATCAAATTGGTGAGTACTGATCCCTGTCCCAATTCATGTATTGGACCGCCTGCCTTCATTGATGTGGCTGGGCTGGGCACGAACGGACAACAGCACTGTTCCTTGTTCCTTTTCTTTTCAACTTCGCATTACTTTCCATTTTTAGATGTTCTAGTGTTAGGAGGAGCTCATTTCTGTTCGGTTAGGTTGGGGCATGAGAACATTATGCACTTTCGCGTTAGTCTCTCACGTTAGTTTCATGTTAACTAATACGAGTCTCCGTTAATGAGCCTGTAAACCTCTTGTAAAGCCGCGATTGTTGGCGCACGGTAAGGCGAGACGTCTAGGTCATGTTTACAGGTTTTCCAAGTGCTTCCCTGAAATCATCTCCGTGCCTAGCAAGGTTGCGCCCTATAAGTTTCTCACACTGAGATATGCAGACTGCAGTGCTTTGAACATGAACGAGTCCCCTCAATAACACTTTGTTGAAGTTCTCATCAATGTTATTGAAACAAGCACTGTGTGCACCTCTTCCCCTGCATGAATTTTCCTGGCCCAGCCTACGACTTAGGGAAAGAGTGTGTCACTCACGGGTACATCGGATGGTGTGGGTGAATGGGTTTCGCAGCTGCCTTCGTTCCCAGCAGTACACGGGATCGGGTTTGAGGAGTAGGAGCACGGTTACCGTACCCATACATCGGCATCGATGCCGCGGGTCCAATCGCATGCTCGCCCACGGTCAACCGCGCTACCTGCCCGTGCCCTCGTGAGTGGAATTGTCGCGACACTCCACGTCCGGCACCCTCTGCGCTCTGCCAGCGGCACTCCTTCACTATTTCATCCTTGCAGGAAGGGCACTCAATCGTGAATCGTACTCCTTGTGGGTTTACAGGTGGCCTGTTAATGGCCACCCATATCTCAAATGTGAGAGAAAAGATAAGCCAGACAGACAAGGCGGGTTCAGTCGAGCGACCAGTTATCGATAAACGATCACGAATCTCAGCGGCAAAAGAACCAGCGAAGGGACTGCAGCCGAGGAGTCATGCAGCCGTTGAGGGATTCTCAACGGGAAGGATCGTATCAGGCTCGGTGGAAGGGGTCGTATTTGGAAAATCGGTAGCCAACAGAACTGTGACAAGGTGTGTGCGGGATGAGGGATAAAACCGAAAGTGTAGCGGCGGGGCTCTAAAAACGTAGCCCATCGCCACAGTGCTTCCACATGCTCCTAACCAGTGTGTGATTAAACTCAGAAAGCTGTTTTATGGTTCAACATGACTTTATTACTAGGAAAGTCGGAAGGAAGTCGGAGGAAGTCGTGTGCGTGGTCCACTTAAAGCTGAGTTTGTCAAGCCCTCTCTCTACCCACCGACTGACGATAATTACAGGTAGAATACATGTTCTGTGGGAGTGGATTTTGGAAAGAATTGTGGGAAATGAAGTAGGAATGCTCACCCTTACAACCTTAGAACACTTTGAATTTATAGCAGCATTTCCCACTAATAGGTGGAGCTGGGACCGAATTATAATGCATTTTGAGAAGAGCAGGTATAACAGTTACCAATATTCCCTGAACTACCTCCAAAAGTTATGTGCGATCGAAGTTATGTTCTCTTCAAAAGTGGCAACTTGCGCACACAACAGCGGATTTTCCATAGTCGATTTTCAAAACGATTTTGTGCTCATTAGAAAGTGAAAACCTTCTGGTTTTGAACACGTCTTTTTTTTGTTCTAGATCCTGCACTAATCAAGTTATATGCCCGGAAAGTTATAAACTCGCGCTCTCAAGATTTCTCATCTTTAAAGGAACGGTTCGCGATGACCTATGGAAATGCAGAAGACGTTATGGGTAGGTAGCGTGGTCCGCAGTGAACAACCCTGTGCCAGTTTTACGGCCGAAAGTTGTAAGGTGTAGGAGTTATGCTGCAAAATTGCTCCAGTGGTACCTCCCTTTTTCCAGTGACTCCGCCTCCAGACCCCGCCTCCAAAGCCTGCCTTCCAGCCAAAAGCGATGCTACCGGACAAGTAGCACGAAATGGATGCTACATTGTCTCTTGTGGGGTCATAGGGTTCATTACAAGGAGTCGGCAAACTGAAGTCGCCCCAGCAAGCGGTTTTTTGGCATTTCACCGTGCAATTGTTTGAGGCTGAAGGGGTCATATTAAAGGTGTTTTCGCCGTTCCTTTGGCATTTTCTCCTCACGGACGAGTCACCCGGCAACTTCCCCTCCACATTTCGCCGCCAACACCTACGCTCCTTATCGCGGACCGTGTCTTTAAATCGAGGAAAATCCTCAAGGCGGTTTCTTTAAATAATATACTCTTCCAGAAGATGTCGATGTCGTTAGGAGGAGGGAATCTTTCCTTCTTCTCACCAGTTTTTGTTTTGTCCTTGGTCCTGCATTACCCAAGTTGTGGTCTCTGAAAGGTTGAAAGCTTGCGCTCTCTAGAAACTTTCATCGTGATTTTGGAGGCGAAGCCGTGTGGCCACCTCGCCAACTACATTAGTACCTGTCAGGTGCAAGCGTCCTAGAAATTACAAATCTCGTCTATGGTTTTGCAAAATATTGTTTCTGAAGGAAGTTACAACCCTTCGAGACATCTTCATGGTACAGGAGTGGAAGTGCAGTGCTGGATAGTGCGCTCCAACGTTAAAACGCGACCCAGATGAAAAAAAAACCGCATTTAAAAGTCGCCTATACGCAGCTAGGTAGTCGCGTACGGGGGGGGGGAGGGCGTGCGGATACGCTCTGAAAGGCCGTGCTCGAAGGTACGAATTTCCCTCAACGTGATAGCCCACCCTGCTTGTGGCCACAAGACCAGCTAGTGTTTTTAACCTCGACTTTTCAGTAGCGAACCAACCTGAAGATTAGAGGTATGCACCATCACCATCCACTACTCGACGCCAGCGCTCAGGCAGCTTGTCGATTCCATCCTTCCAGAACGACGGGGCTGGGACTTGAAGAAGTCGCCGAGTTCGTCGAGTGCCTTTCTGACCTGATCCTTTGTTTCGAACTTTTTTCTATCTAGAGAGCGCTGTAGGTGGCTGAACAGTCAGTGGCCAGAAGGAGCGAGGTCAGGCAGGGCTGTATGGGGGGGGGGGGAGGGAGTGGCGACCACAGCCATCAGTATGCTCCAAGCAGCATCAAACACGCGGTTAAAAACATATGCATCAACCTAATACAAGTACGAGTTGTTACACTAGTACGAAGAAGTTGAACGAATAAATTCATATCTCTTCTATCAACATTGACAACATCAATAATAACAATGCCACACGCAGAGAGCTCTCAGGTTAATCAATATTTTACAGCTTAAAGCCGATATTTTGTCAAGGTGAATAAGAAATGCATTGTCTAAGTAAAGCATTTTAGCACCGAATGAGTAGATCAGAACAGAGTCGTCGTGGAACAACAAAAATAAAATAACATAGTGGCACTGTTCGGCTTGGAGGGGGCATTTTCACTTCTGCTAAATCCTCTTGCCGCATATATTGAAACAGGTTAAAACCTGTAGGTTCTTGGAAACCTGCGAAATGGTGCAAGTGAAAAGCCACTTCAGTTATATGCTTTAGCTTTTAGTTTTACGTTAGCTCTTATAAGCTTCGCGGAGCACCATTTAATGCCCCCTCCAAGCCGAACTGCACCCATATAACATATATAGACATCACGCAAATGCCACCCCAAAATGGTGAGGGGCATGTTTTGTGCAAAACATTTGAGCACGTTGAACTGATGATGAATAGACGAAGGGGGGGGGGTATATTCATAGAACTAGGTTAACATTCGACCCGAAACAGTGATGAATGACGCGAAAAGTTTAAAACTGTAGACATGTATACACATATGGCAACGTAGTATAATATAATTAATAGTTATTAAGTAACAATACAAAGAAAACCCTAAGTCGACTTGACAAATCGCCAAATATGCACCGATGTGAATCGTGCTGATAGGGAATCGTCCAATTCGATCGTATAACCCGCAACGGCACCCTTTGAGAGAAGTTCCCTGCAAAGGAAAACATTACGACTACTCAACTATCACGTACGGGTGAGAGATCTACGTGCAGCAACGCGTGCGCGGCATTCACACCAAGACCTGATCCAGTCAAGAGTAGAAGTGCTGCAGCCAGGGAACAGTATTAAGATGTATGAAGTGATAGTGTTAGAAAGACCCATCTCAGAATTCGCTACCCCCTGTCCCTTCTTAGCACTTTCCTGTTTTTCCAACCCTCCTTCATGTTCCAATTTTTCAGAAAAACTCCAAGCTCCCCTCTCTAAGTGGTGGCCGATCTTATGCGGCACATCTGCGCGGCAGTTTGGTTTACAATCTGTCGCGCGCGGCGATTGGCGAAATCCAAGAAGCTTCTTCTGAATGAGCCGCTACCTATTAAACTCCCATTTATCAGCGACTTTTTTGTGCTACAATGCTCCGGACTACAAACCTTCGGAAAGTTGCTCTAGCTTTATCTACGCTTCTAACTCACCGTTTCTCTCGCTCCGTCCACTGTTGCCTGCTTTCACCTCGTTCCACTCTCCTACGCTCAGCTCTCCACACCGCTGGTCCTTCTCTTCGTCGAAGATCTTCCATTAAAGCTTTGTTCACTGTCGCCTGAAAACACAACCGATCATTTTGAAATACTCAACCATTATCGTAAACAACAACAAACAAAATCTTGGCACTGTTCGGCTTAGGAGGGGCATTCTACACCTTCGCTAGTTTCTTTTGCTCGTTCCCGCTAACTTACACGTCTCATCTTGGTAAGATCCGTAGACTCTTGTCAGGTGTAAAAAAAGCTCCTGTCTGCTGCTGCACAGAAGGGAATTTATAGGTATATCAACAGAGCACATCGCAGTGATCGATGGGAACCAGCAAAATGCCCCCACCAAGCCTAACTGCGCCAAGATTACTTTCAGTTCAAGTGTTCTATGAACAGTTATGTAGATTCGTTCACCCACCGCGTCAGACGCGTAATGTACAAAGATCTTCGTCTTCCCGTTCCGAAACTCGGCAGTATTGCGAGAGACAACAAGTGTGAAATGAGGCAACGAGGCTGATGTCAAGGAATTTGGTACGGCATCCGGACGAACAAGATGTCGCTCCCAGGACGTGCCAAGTACGCGCCAACCAGTCTGAACAACTCACGATACAACTGTGCTCTAATCAAGGGATGGACACGATTGCTGAAGGCGGGTGGTTGTCGCCCGCGTCATTGGTGGTGGTGCTAGACTAGCGGCGTTTTGGCACACCCTTCAGCCTTTACAGGCAATGGGCGAACGCCCGTCTTCAGCTTATGCGCGGCCCCACTGTATTTAAGTCGTTTCAAAAATATGCGGTGGTTTCAGACGTACCTCATGAGCTGGTTCTATGACCGACTTAACCAGCGCTGATTCATTGGCGTTCAGGCCAGGAAGAGCTTCGACAGTTGTCTGGAATAAGCCATGAACTTCATGAACGGCGTTATAAATTTTCTTGCATTTGGACACATCACCTTTTGCATTTTGGGCGTGCAGCACTAGTAATTCATGGAACCCTGGAATCTTTTCTCGGTGAGAGACACGTCGTCGGGGGGGATTCATCGCAGTGAAGGTGGCGTCGAGCAGATCCGACGAAGCCAGGCTAGGCACTTGGGAGAAGACGCGTAGACGTGAAGGGAATGAGGCCACAGAACGAGCACAAACATGCTGCTGGCAGTCTAGGATGAAGCTTAGCAGGCGGCAGAAGTGAAGGTGATAGACCAGCTAGCCGGAACCATGTTGTTAAATCTGGAACCAATCGAAAATTAAAAAAAAAACCGACAAAGCATGTGTTCACCACGCGCAATCTAGAGTGACGCAATATGCGAGACGCTGCGCGGTTGCCGAGCAGCAAAAGTCAGCGATCTGCGCGCGAGCTGAACCCTGCCATCTCTTATGCCTCTCTGCAACCGCTCGCGTCTTGCAAAACTGCCATTTCATATGAAGATGATCAATAGAAAAACAGTTGGATGAGTTACCGAACTCCTGAACAGCATACTTCAGCCTACCTGTTGGAATCAGTGGAGCTGTATCCATCGCTTCCAAGGCGAATGGATCCACAGACCGGACGATATCGTCGAAGCGAACTCGTCCAATTTGGGCCGGACTGAAGGACATGTAGCGTCCAATCAAAGTATCGTATGGTCGAGCATGCGGCATTATCACCACTGACAATTGCGGAATGTCCACACCTGAAAAGTGACAAGGTTGAGGGTTAGGTCGATCGTAGTCCAGCCAGTGAAATACTCACCACCACGGAAGCCCAGTGGAGTCCAAAACGCTGCCTGAGTGTCAGCCATGACACGACCGAGTGGATCGCGGTGTATCTCCTTTTCTATACCAGACTCGCTCAGGACATACCTTAACATCATCAAAACTTATCATCATCATCATCATCATCATCCATGGTACAGGGAACAAGGATGCACCAATGAGGAGCGCACAGCAACTGTGAATCCCCGCCCCTGCCACTATTGCGGAATGTGATCTCAATGCTTTCATTTGACTTCTATTCCCTCAGCGCTACCGAATGAAAAAAGATCTACTGGGGGACCTTATAAACAGTGCCATTTTCTAGAAAAACCTAATCAGATGCGAAATTTCTGTCAAAACGGGCCGTAGAGCCTAACATAGGTTTTCTGCTTTCCTAGACAAGTTTTCCGAGAACTCACCTCAGACTGCCATCGTCATCGACTGCGAGTGCATATCTGAATCCATCACGGCTCATCGCAAACGGGACCCCTTCTTCCGTGTAGAAAATCGCCGTCGCCGACGAATCAGACGACGACTGGAAGTGTGACACACGACGAGGTAAATGCGGTAACGCGTAGAATAGTGAGTACAGCGTCTGAAAATATAAGACGTGAACAATGATTTCTGGGCGCTAATAACCTGGGGGGGGGGGAGGGAGAGGTGCCACACCTGTGAACTTTTTCAATGTGTGTATTCGTCTTTGCAAAAGCTCTGAACTTCTGTTAAGCACCCGGCAAACTCATGTCAAGCTTGGCAAAATATCACCAGTGTCATTTGAATGCCATTTCTCCATTTTTTTTACATCTTGATCGGTCATTCTGATAAGTTTCACAGGAGTTTACAAGGTGCTGGCAGGTGATAACAAGACCAACACGGTGTTGACAAGGTCGTCCGGTATTCACATGTCCGCAGTTATAGGATTTAGTATGCTGACAAGCGCTTACA